TCTGAGATAAGGTGTTCGCTCTCATTCAAAGGTCCCGGGTTCGAATGTTCTTCTCTAAAATGGTCTCCTTTCACCTTCTTTCCTGTTCTGGCGTCTGCCTTTGTCTCCACTTTCTGCCCCCAACTCCTTATCTTCTTTGCCCCTCCTCCGGGCTCCTGAATCTTTCTGCAGCCTTTCTACTGCTACTCTTTCACCTTGGCTCCTTCTTACTGTTGTCTTTCAGCCACATCCCTGATCTTCTGGTAGGAAAAGAGATGTACACCTAGTCTTCTCGGACAAAGGCGAAACATTTTCGGAGGTCCCGTGTGCAAGTTGCGCACGTTAAAGATCTCTTGGTGTTCTAAAATCGATAAGAGTAGGCTTCGGTCGTCTTTACTTTACTTTTATCCGCCGCTTATACAAGTTTGGGTGTCGCAGGAAGAAAGAGACGTCTCTCTGTCGCCAGCCGGAGAGCTTGTGTCAGGGGGGATGCCGTGGGTGGTTAATGTTTCCCTTACTCCATCTACCCATGTCTTTCTCGGTCGCCCTCTAGCCTTGTTGCCATCGGATATTTGGATGTAGGCACGTTGTGCTGGATGTTGTGTTGGTAATCGTAGGAGATGTCCGAGTCATTTGATTCTTTGGTGTTGGATGTGATGCATGACATCATTTGTGCCCACCATTTCTCGGATTACAGAGTTTCTAATTTTGTCTCGCCTGGTCTTGTTTACAGCTTTTCTAAGGCATCCCATTTCACATGTTGTAATTCTTTGCTCTAACGTCTTGTTCGTGGTCCATGTTTGGCATTGATAGGTGAGTGTTGGGATGAATATGGTGTTGATCATTTTGAGTTTTGTTGTCTTGGGGATGTTAGGATGTTTCAGTAGTGGAGTAAACTGGTAACTAACGTTGTTGACCATTTGTACTCATGTTTCAATTTCTCTGCTCAGTCGCCCATCCTCTGTGAATATGCTTCCAAGGTACTCAAATTCTTGGACCTGTCTGAGACTGTTGTTGTTGATGTGTATCCTGCGTGATTCTGGCTTTCTGTTTACTTTCATTGCCTCTGTTTTGTTGATGTTGATCTTCATGTCGTAGTTGTTACATTCTTCGTTTAATCTGGCAGTGTGGCGTTGGAGACTTCGTTCATCTTTGTATGTCAGGCTTTGGTCATCAGCGAAGAGTAATTCATTTAGGGCGTCTGGTTCTGTGTTGGCCTCTCTCGTAATTCTGTCCATATATATGATAAATTGTAGTAGTGATAGGACACAACCTTGTCTTACTCCGAATGTTATCTCGAACCATTCTGTGAGTCCCTCTGACATTCTTACTGTACTTATGCTGTTCTAGTAAAAGGCACAGATGTTATCTAGAAGTTGGTCTCTTACGGTGTAGTTTTCGAGTTCTTTCCACAACTTGTTTCTGTTCACTCTGTCGAACGCTTTCTCCTGGTCGATAAATACTATATTTAGTTCCGTGTTCAGTTCTATTACCCTTTCGCACATTTGTCGTAGGGCAAATGTTGCGTCGGTGCATCCTCTTCCCTTTCTAAATCCCATTTGGGCCTCACTCAGAAATGGTTCAACTTTGTGTCTTGTTTCGTCATTCCAATATCTTGGCGAACATTTGCCCACATGGCTTAGCAGTGAAATGCTTCTATACATTCCACAGTTTTTCTCTCATACTGCCTTTCTTCTCCATATTGGTACTATGACCGCTTTTTGCCAGTCTTCGGGAACTTTTCTTTCTGTACATGCTTTCTGGCAGATTTTTGTTAGCCAAATTATTCCAGTTTCATCACATGCTAGGATGGTCTCCGTGGTGAGATCATCTATTCCTGCGCTTCTGTTTTTTTGGGGCTGGTTTTAACAGCCTGTCTGACCTCTGATGGTAGGATTGTTGGTTCTTCTTTCTCTGGGTGATTTGGTTGGAATTCTTTGTTTGTTTGCTTTTGGGTAGTGTTCTAGAGTTCTGAGAAATATTCCTTCCATCTAGATTTAATTTTGGAGCTGTCGATAAGGGGTTTCCTGTTTTGTCATTAATTATAGCTGTTGGGTCGTACGGTTCTTCTCTGAGCCTAATTGATTTTACACTTTTGTAAAAGTCAAGTCGTGATGTATGGCACAGTTCGCTTAGGTGTTCTTTTAGGAGTTCTTCGGCCGTCACCCGGGTAAAATTCAAAATTTCCTACCAACTGAAAAATGTTTAATATGTCTCGAGCGCTCATATGACCTCATGCAGCAGCGAGCGCCGTAAAACACGTACCAAAATATATACAATGCCATCATAGTATCGAACCTGCGCTTCAAAAAGCAACGTCTGATTTACTGGATTCCGTTGATGGCAAAAACATCTGTCCTTTAACTCTGTTGGATCTGTCTGCAGCTTTTGACACAATTGACCATTCTATTTTACTCACAAGCCTTAAGCGCTCATTTGGCTTATCAGTTTCAGTGCTTTCATGGTTTAAGTCATATTGACTAAAAAGAGTTCAATCAGTGCAAATTAAAAGTAGCTTTTCAAAAGAGGTCAGGCTCGATTATGGAGTCCCTCAGGGGTCCGTTCTTGGACCAGTGCTCTTTACGCTATATACACGGCCCTTAGCAAACATTTTTCAAAGTCACGGATTGAATTATCATTTTTATGCGGATGATTCCCAAATGTGTGTTAATGGCACCATTCAAGATTTGCCAAAGATGATTTCTATCACTAAACAATGTTTTTAAGAAATTAAAAAGTGGATGACAGTAAACAATTTGAAACTATATAAACAAAGAAAAGACAGACATCATTCTTATAAATAATCCACGATTGAATAAAGATCTGGAAAGTGTCAACTTTGATTTATATGGGCATATATATGACATCTAGAAAAGAAGTTGTCAAGAACCTCGGTGTACATATTGACCACCAATTATCAATGGGTTCGTTTGTAGGACCTCTGTCCAAATCCCTTCATTTTCAGCTGAGAAGGATAGGCCCAGTTCGAAAGTACTTAAACGAAGAGACCACAAAAACATTGGTAACATCTCTTATCCTATCTAGATTAGACTATTGTAACTCACTCCTAACAGGTCTGAACAACAAATATTTTAATCGTTTACAAGTCATTCAAAACAATGCTGCTAGACTGATGACAAGGTCTAAAAAACGAGACCATGTCACTCCACTATTAAAAGAGCAGCATTGGCTCCCTGTAAAAGAAAGAATAATATTTAAAA